CTATTATAAACAGGACCAGCAAGATGTACACGGTAAATGCCTTAAATGAAATAGCAACAGAAATGCTCATGTTTGGCAGGCGTGTGGCGCTCACGCTGTAATCCCGCAGCACTGTGGAGGCCAGGTGGCAGTGTTTCACCTTGAGGTCGGAGTCCAGACCAGGCCTTGACCAACTATGGAGAAACCCTGTCGCTTTAACTAATATACAGAAATTTTTTGGCCGGGGGCATGCGGTCGTGCACAATGTCTTATGAATCCCAGCTACTAGGGAGGCTGAGGCAGGAGAATGCGCTTGACCCCGGAGGTGGGGTTGCGGTGAGCCGAGATTGTGCCACTGCACTCCAGCCGGGCAACAACAGTGAAACTCCGTCTCAAAAAAAAAAAGAAATGCTCCTTTAGTCTACCCCAACTTACAGGAGATGAAGGACCTAGCTTCGTCCGCCGTAGTTTCAGATGTAAAGTTCACTTCCTTCATACTCCTCCTGGTCTTTAGGATGCTTGCTTTGATGTCGCTCATCGTGCGGAAGTGGGAAGGTCGAACTGATTTGGTGAGCGCTGGCTCACCTGATATTCTTCACAGCGTTGGCCCTGGAGTGATGGAACACAGTAAAACACACAGATAACATTTAGATTACAGGAACACCAGTAAATCCCTCTTCTACTCCAGTCCTTTTTGCTGATTTCGTGTTACCATGGATCTAACTGTTTGTTCACTATCTACATGTAACCCAAAACTTGAAGTAGTCCTCAAGGGACACTCTAATATATGTGGTGTCATATTCATTGGAGTAACTATTGGTTTTGAGGCCTTTCAGTTATATCAAACTAAAAAAACAATAGTAGTAGGCTGTGCGGGTGGCTCAAGCCTGGTAAATCCCAGCACTTTGGGGAGGGCCGGGGCAGGCGGACTCACTAGGTCAGGACGATCAAAACCATTCCTGGGGCTAACTGCGTGAACGCCCCGTCTCTCACCTAAAAATACAAAAAATTAAGCCAGCTCGTGGCGGGCGCCAGTCATCCCGCTACTCGAGAGGCTGAGGCCAGGAGAATGCGTGTGAACCCGGAAGGCAGAGCCTGCAGTGAGCTGAGATCGCGGCCACTGCACTCCAGCCTGGGGCCGACAGAGCGAGACTCTGGCTCAAAAAAAAAAACAAAGACTCAAAACACACCTACCAGAGTGTAAGAACCACCCCTCATGAATCAGTCAACCTAGCCAAGCTCACTATGCCAGCCAGAGCAAGGTTTCTTGATTCCTTCATTTCTTTTGCCGCATTTCCACCACTCTTGCTGCACATTTTGCATACTCTTCTCCAGCTCTTGCTCTCAGTAACTTTTTAGAACCTTCTGCTAAAGAGAAAATCAGTAAATTGAAGAAGGTGTCATGAATAAAGAATCTACAGGCATTATATGAATATTTGTTAACCCTGTGATAAAATAATCATCCAAACCAAAAAATATCATCTAATAAATAGATTGGTAACTCTAACTAGATAACACCATGAAAATAAATAAAAACGCACACTTTGGCCAGGCATGGTGGCTCATGTCTATAATCCCAGCATTTTGGGAGGCTGAGGAGGGGAGATCACCTGAGGTCAGGAGTTTGAGACCATCCTGGCCAAACGGTGAAAACTGGGCGCGTGAAACTCCGCCTCTACTACAAATACAAAAATTAGCCAGGTGTGGTGGCACACGCCTGTAATTCTAGCTACTCAGGAGGCTGAGGCAGGAGAATCGCTTGAACCTGGGAGGTGGAGGTTGCAGGGAGCCGAGATCGCGCCATGCACTCCAGCCTGGCCACAGAGCGAGACGCCGTCTCAAAAAATAAATAAATAAATAAAGACAAGAAAATGCACACTTTATACCAAAATATTGAAAAAAATTCAGAAGAAAATAACTAAAATAGATTAGAATATATTACAAAATATCCACAAATATAATCATAAATGATTAGATTGGGCTGGGTGCAGTGGCTCATGCCTGTAATCCCAGGCACTTTGGGAGGCCAAGGCAAGTGGATCACCTGAGGTCAGGAGTTCGAGATCATCCTGGCCAACATGGTGAAACCCCATCTTACTAAAAACACAAAAATTAGCTATATGTAGTGGTGGGCGCCTGTAATCCCAGCTACTCAGGAGGCTGAGGCAGGAGAATTGCTAGAACCTGGGAGGTGGAGGTTGCAGTAAGCTAAGATTGCGGCACTGTACTCCAGCCTGGGCAACAGAGTGAGACTCCATCTCCAAAAACAACAACAGCAACAACGACAAAAAAGATTAGGTTGTACGCCATAAGAAAAACTAAAAGACCAGTAGAAGCCTGGTGCAGTGGCATGCACTTGTAATTCCAGCTACTTGGAAGGCTGAGGCGAAAAGATTGCTTGAGCCCAAGAGTTCAAGACCAGCCAAGGCAACACAGCAAGGCCCTGTCTCAAAAACAAAAACAAAAAAAGACCAGTAGAATGAGGAAAGTATCTACAACAAAAGGTTAATATACATAAAAAACATGTAACAGAAGAAAGAAACTCATAAGTAAAGCAGACTAAATCCCAACCCTGTTATTTCATTTGCTGCCTGTAATGATCTTGAGAGAACTATTTAACTTTCCTGAACCTAAGTTTTCTCCACTGTGAAATGAGAGTGTAAATACTCTTGCTTACATCCTATTTGTGACTGTTCAATCAGATGATATCTCTGAAGTGCTTGACACATGGTAACGTTCAATACAGAGTAGCCATTCTTAGTAAGGAAAATATCACCAGGACATTTATAGACAAATAAGGTTACCAATAAGAAAAAAAATAAAAAGGAAACAGATAATTCACCCAAGAGGAAATATGGAAAAAATGTTTACAATAGTAGCAGTAATACAATCTTGTCAGCAAATACATAAAAATTAAAATAATTTGATGCTGGGGGTTGGGGGAAACGGGGAGATGATGGTTAAAGAGTACAACAAATCTCAGACAAGAGGAAAAAGATTTTTCTTTTGACCTACTGCACAGGGTGAAGGATATCATTAATAATAGTAATACACTAAAAGAAGAAATTCCAGCCAGGCACGGTGGCTCATGCCTGTAATCCCAGCACTTTGGGAGGCTGAGGCAGGTGGATCACCTGTCAGGAGTATGAGACCAGCCTGGCCAACATGGTAAAACCTCATCTCTACTAAAAATACAAAAATTAGCTGGGTATGGTGGCAAGTGCCGGTAATCCCAGCTACTCAGGAGGCTGAAGCAGGAGAATCACTTGAACACAGGAGGCAGAAGTTACAGTAAGCTGAGATCTCGCCACTGCACTCCAGCCCGAGCAACAAGAGAGAAACTCCATCTCAACAAAAAAAAAAAAACACCCCAAATGTTCTCATTACAAAAAGTGGTATTTGAGGTGACGGATATGTTAATTAACTAGATTTAATTATTCCAAATTGTAGTCATGAATCATAACATCACTTTGTACTGCATACATATATACAACTATAAATTATCAATTTACAACTAAATTTTTTAAATAATAATTTGATGCCATATTATATGAATTTAAAAAACCAAAACAATTTTAAAAGTTAATAAACAATGCAGAAGAGATAGTAAGAAAACAAAAATATTAATTCAAAGCCAATGGCACTTCAGGCCAGGCATGGTGGCTCACACCTGTACCCAGCACTTTGGGAGGCTGAGGCGGGCAGATCACTTGAGATCAGGAGTTTGAGATCAGCGTGGCTAACAACGTGAAACCCCATCTCTACTAAAAATATAAAAATTAGCCGGGGCCGGGCATGGTGGCTTATTCCTGTAATTCCAGCACTTTGGGAGGCTGAGGGGGACGGATCTCTTGAGGTCAGGAGTTCAAGACCAGCCTGGCCAACATGGTGAAACTCCGTCTCTACTAAAAATAAAAAATGAGCCAGGTGTGGTGGCAGGTGCCTGTAATCCCAGCCACATGGGAGACTGAGGCAGGAGAATTGCTTGAACGTGGGAGGCGGAGGTTGCAGTGAGCTAAAATCGTGCCACTGCATTCCGGTCTGGGCGACAGAGCGAGACTCCATCTCACAAAAAGAAAAAAAAAATTAGCTGGGTGTGATGATGCATGCCTATAATCCCAGCTACTCAGGAGGCTGAGGTAGGAGAATCACTTGAACCCAGGAGGCGGAGGTTGCAGCGAGCAAAGATTATGCCACTGCATTCGCAACCTGGGTGACAGAGTGAGACTCCATTTCAAAAAAAAAAAAAAAAAAGTCGACGGTAGTACTATAAATTGGTACTTCCATTTCAGAAGTAAAATTGGCAATAAATATCAACACTGACAAAACTGGTCATTCCCTGCGGGGAATTTCTCCTTCCTTATTCTGAGGAGATCACTCAAAGAAATGGCTCTGCCTATAAAGTTGTTGACTGATTACTTATAATCGTGAAAAGCTGGAAACTACATTTTCAACAGAAAATAGTTAAATATAATTTGATAGAATATTAATCTATCAAAAAAGGATAAATGTGAAGATTTTGTAGCAGCACAGAAATAAAATCTGAAATAGTCTCATGGCAAGTCAATAAAGCAGAACCCAAGGTTTTATATTAACTGATTGTGAAAATATGTATGCTGGCTTGGGTAAAACCCAGCAGGGAGGTTGGAAAAATAAGAAATGTTCCATTTACATGGTAAGAACCATTGCTAACTTTTTCCTTTTATATTTCTTTTAAATTTGCTTCAACAGTATTTTTCTGACTGTTCAAGATCTGAGCACCAGCTAGGCACTGTGGCTCACACCTGTAATCCCAGCACATTGAGAGAGCAAGGCAAGAGGATTACCTGAGGCCTAGTTTGAGAGCCTAGGCAAATAGCGAAACCCCATCTCTACAAAAACGTAAAAGGTAGGCTGGGCACGGTGGCTCACGCCAGCACTGTGGGAGGCCAAGGTGGGCAGATCACTTGAGGTCTGGAATTTGAGACTAGCCTGGCCAACATGGTGAAACCCCACCTCTACTAAAAATACAAAAATTAGCCAGGTGTGGTGGTGCACACCTGTAATCCCAGCTCCTCAGGAGGCTGAGCCAGGAGAGTTGTTTGAACCTGGGAGGCGGAGGTTGCAGTAAGCCAAGATCGTGCCACTGCACTCCAGCCTGGGAAACAGAGTGAGCCTATGTCGCAAAAAAAAAAAAAAAAAAAAAAAGTTAGCCAGGCATGATAGTACATGCCTGTGGTCCCAGTTACTTAGGAGGCTGAGGTGGGAGGATCAGGTAAGCCCAGGAGGTCAAGGATGCAGTGAGCCATGATTGCACCACTGCACGTCAACCTAGGCAACAGAATGAGGCCCTGTCTTTAAAATTAATTAATTAAATAAAAATTTAAAAATCTGAGCACCCTTCAGGACACATGTAACAATTCACCTCACCATGGTCAAAGTTTCAAGAGTTTCCCAACCTCCAGGTACACCAAAAAGATTGGAGATGTAAGTCTGTAATTTTACAGCATTCATTCTAAAGTTTAAATTCAGGAAAGAAACTTACTTTATGGGTGGCATACAAGGCACAGTATGTCTACCCTTGGCTTTCTCTGGGGAAGATTCATTCTTTTCAGAAGTATCTTGAGCACTGCCTTCTTCCTCTGGCTTCTTTTTGTTGTTAGAACTTGAGTTCAAAAGAACAAAAAATATGTTTTCAATTCCCTGAAGCATAGCCTGTACCCTCCTCCCCAAATCTGCTGCATATGGATTAACTTTTCTCATTCTATAGGATAACAAGCATGCTTTGACCACATGATTCTTCCAATAGTATCATTACATCACATATACTAATGGCTTCAATGAGTAAACTTTGAGAAAGCCAACTTCTATCAAGATAAGAGTTACCTAGTGGTGGTTCAGAAGAGTAAGGAGGGACTCTAACTGCTCACCATCAAACGATCAAATGGCAGAGTTAATTGCCATCCCAATATCTATTCTCTTATTAATAAAACCCCAATTTCAGGAGGAGCATCAACGCACTAAACTACAAGTAAGTATTGTACTTGCTTCAACAGCCTCTACTGCAACTAGGGAATCCAAGTGACACAAGTCTAGGCAAATGAAATGAAATTTAAGGTTTGCTGGGAAAGACTTAAGTTTCCTGGTATAGATGCTGCCCTTTTTCCTTTACTGTTCTCTTCTTCTCTTAAACATAAATACAACACCTAGAGATATACCAGCCATCTTGTGCCAATGAGACAACAAGCAAAAGAAAAAAGCTAAGAAATACAGAGCAGCATCTTGAGAGCAAGTATGAAAAAAAAAGCTAAAAATCAGCCACTGAACCAAAGCCAGCAGCTAACTACTTTAGACCTCTGTGAACAAATAATTCATTATTCTTTAAACCACTCCAGTTGAATAGACTATTACTTGCAGCAAAATATATTCTTAACTAATAAAAATATGAACAAACATGTATGCAGCTTGTTATTAAACATAAAAACAAAAAGAGGTAAAACCTATGCCAACTAAGATGTGAGTGCCCTCCAGGACACATGTAACAATTCACCTCACCATGGTCACAGTTTTAGGCATTTCTCAAGCTTGAGGTGCACCAAACATATTGCAGATGTACCATTTTTAATTTTATTCTATTCAATCTAAAGTGTAAACTCAGAAAAGAAACTTACAAGTGGTATACAAGGTACAATATGTCTACCCTTGGCAGTAAGAAGTTGTGGCTACTCACACTTTCATTTTCTTAGAAGGTAGAATTTCATCGATGATTACAGGAGTGGCACATCTCTTGGCTTTCATTTTTACATGATGCTTTTCTTTCTGTTCCAAATCCTTCTGAGCAGAAAGCCTAAGAGATCTTCTATGGTAGAGAAATTGACAAAATGTATAACAAACATATATATTACAGATATCTAAATGTTCCTCAGAAATGTGAAAGGATGTCAAACTACAAAGGGCAATAAAATGGAGTGCTATTCTCTCCACTCTAAAAATCTGATCTCTCTTGTTGATAGTTTTTTAAATTCAACCATAACATTTTAGTTCTTAAATACATTGGTGTCTATAAATGTGACCTCAGTAAAGTGATTAAAAAGAAAAACTTGGCTGGGCATGGTGGCTCATGCCTGTCATCCCAGCACTCTGGAAAGCTGAGGCAGGAGAATTGCTTGAGGCCAGGAGTTCAAACAAGCATGGGCAACATATCAAGACCCTGTCTCTACAAAAAATTTTTAAAAAATTAGTCCCAAGTGGTGGTGCGCATCTGTGGTGCTAAATACTTAGGAAGCTGGGGCAGAAGAATCACTTGAGACCAGGAGGTCATGGCTGCAATAAGCCATGATCGTGCCACTGCATGTCAGCCTGGGCAACAGAGTAAGACTCTGTCTAAAAACAAATAAATCAATAAGAAGAATACAAAACAAACAGCATAATGACAGATCTAATACATACCAAAAAGTGCCCAAAACAAAAATAGTTAAATGACTACCAAGTGGAAGACCTTATGAAATCACCACCTAGGCCAAGATACAGAAGAACACTGACAACCACTGCTATCTTGACGTCAAGTGTGATCATTAGATAATTTCCTTATTGCTTTACCAAATAAGCATGTATTACATAAACATGGTATGCTAGTTTTGAAGAAAAACAAAAAATTTTGTATAATGTAACCAGACTACTATAAGTATTCTTTTCTGTCTGGCTTATCTCACTCAACTTTATGTTTGTGAGATTTAACCACATCAATTCACACAGCTCTAATTCATTGACTTTCATTGCTGTATAATATTCATTGTAGGGATATGCCACTATTTATTCAGTCTACTGTTGATGAGTTATCTCCTCATTTTAGCTATTATTAAAAAAAATAAGATTGGTGGGTCTTAGGAAATTAATGTGCTTTTCTCTGATGATCAGTGAAACTGAGTACATTTTCACATGTTTATCGGCCATTTGTCCTTCTCATAAGTGCTAGTTCAAGTCGTTTGCCTGTTTTCTACTGGCTTGTCAATTCTTTACTAATTGATTTGTAATTCTTTGTATACTCTGGATATAAACCCTTTGTAGGATTCACGTGTTACAAATAGTTTCTCCCACTCTAGGGGTTGAATTTTCATCTCTTTATCTTTTAATTAGATAAATGTGCTTGAATTTATCAACCTCTGCCACCCCCATTATGGTCAGTGCTTTTCTGTGTGTGTCCTGTTTAAGAAAGCTTTCCCTACTCTGCCAGGTGCGGTGGCTCACGCCTATAATCCCAGCACTTTGGGAGGCCAACGCGGGAAGATCAAAGGTCAGAAGATAGAGACTATCCTGGCTAACACGATGAAACCCGATCTCTACTAAAAATGCAAAAAAAAAAAATTAGTCGGGCGTAGTGATGGGCGCCTGTAGTCCCAGCTACTTGGGAGGCTGAGGCAGGAGAATCACTGGAACCCAGGAGGCGGAGGTGGCAGTGAGCCGAGATTGCGCCACTGCATTCTTCCAGCCTGGGCGACACAGCAAGACTCCGTCTGGGGGAAAAAAAAAAAAAAAAGATGGCACATACCAGGCATGGTGGCTCACGCCTGTAATCTTGGCACTCTGGGAAGCATAGGTGGGCAGATCACTTGAGCTCAGGAGATCAAGACCAGCCTGGACAACATAGCAAGACTCCATCTCTACAAAAAATATGAAAATTAGCTGGGCGTGGTGCCCTGCACCTGTAGCTTCCACTACTCGGGAGGCTAAGGCAGGAGGATTGCTTACGACTGAGGGGTCAAGGCTGCAGTGAGCCAAGATCATGCCATTGCACACCAGCCTGGGCAAGAGAGCAAGACCCTGTCTCAAAAAAAAAAAAAAAAAAAAAAGATCAAATTTTTGAGGCAAAACTTCAGAAGCAAGAGAACCACAGAGACGGTAAACACTAAACCCTGATTATAAACTCATACTCTGAGGCCGGGCACAGTGGCTCAAGCCTGTAATCCCAGCACTTTGGGAGGCCGAGACAGGCGGATCACGAGGTCAGGAGATCGAGACCATCCTGGCTAACATGGTGAAACCCCGTCTCTACTAAAAAAATACAAAAAAATTAGCCGGGCGTGGTGGCGGGTGCCTGTAGTTCCAGCTACTCGGGAGGCTGAGGCAGGAGAATGGCGTCAACCCGGGAGGCGGAGCTTGCAGTGAGCTGAGATCGTGCCACTGCACTCCAGCCTGGGCGACAGAGCGAGACTCCGTCTCAAAAAAATAAAAAATAAAAACTAAATTCATACTCTGGCCTGGGTGCAGTGGCTCACGCCTGTAACCCTAACACTTTGAGAGGCAGACGTGGGTGGGTTCAGTGAGCTCAGGAGTTCGCGACCAGCCTAGACAACGTGGTAAAACTTTTTCTGAACAAGAAATACAAAAATATTAACTGAGCACAGTGGCTTGTGCCTGTAGTCCCAGCTACTCAGGAGACTGAGGTGGGAAGATTGCTTGAGCCCAGGAGGTTGTGGCTACAGTGAGATATGATCATGCCACTGCACTCCAGCCTGGGCAACTGAGCAAGACTCTGTCTCAAAAATAAATAAAATAAAAATTTGTCTATTGGCTGAATGCAGTGGTTCATGCCTATATAGTCTCAGCACTTTGGGAGGCTGAGGCAGGAGGATCACTTGACCCCAGGAGTTTGAGTCTGCAGTGAACTATGTGCCACCACTGCACTCCAGCTCCAGCCTGGGTGACAGAACAAGATCCTGTCTCAAAAAAAAAAAAAAAGCTAAAGTAATACAGAAGAACAAAGATATTTGACATTAGGAAGATGTAACAACTATATCCATACAAGGCCTTTGGAAACAGATTGATAAGGGTTTGAATCCTGGCTCTGAAATAAACTTGCCTTAAGCAAGCAACTTAGTATCTCTGAGCCCTTATCTATAAATTAATTAATTAAGCATATTACCTACAACTCATAAATGTTATACGGATTTTTCTTAATTTATACCAACCACACAAACCCATTATTATGAGGATTTTAAAAGCTAACATAGCCGGGCGCAGTTGCTCACACCTGTAATTCTAGCACTTTGGGAGGCTGAGGCGGGTGGATCACCTGAGGTCAGCAGTTTGAGACCAGCCTGGCCACATGGCAAAGCCCCATCTCTACTAAAAATACAAAAATTAGCCGGGTGTGGTGGCAGGTGCCTATAATCCCAGCTACCCAGGAGGCTGAGACAGGAGAATTGCTTGAACATGGTGGGGCGGAGGTTGCAGTGAGCTGAGATCACACCACTTCGCTACAGCCTGGGCAAAAGAGCGAAACTCTGTCTCAAAAAAAAAAAAAGGTAATGTAAAGGTGTCCATAAACACAGTATGGACACATAACAGATGCTCTATCCAGTAACTATCCTTTGAACATTATTATTATAACCACCATTTTGAGATTCCAAACAGTCTTACCTCTGAGGCTGGGCAGGAGTTTTTCTTGATATGGCTGCCTCAACTTCCAGGGAAGAACAAGCGTTTGACAGAATGGATTGTTCCACAAGATTTTCTTTTTCTGCCTCTTTGTAGTAAGTGTTGTCAACTGTGGGAGACCAAAAGCTAGTCAGCACTCAAATCCCAACGAAAATAATTGGAGATGAGCCACACACACACACCCCGTCTAAGCCACAGAATCCTTAGTTCCAGTTAAACCTTATAAGAAGACCAGTTTATAAAAGCTACTTTGGTTGAAACAGAAATGATGTATCTGGGGCTTGCCTATTTGCCAGCCTAAGGTACTACCTTTAAAAAAAGCATCCCACACACAATCTCATGACATTTCAGGACACTGATAAAGTTCTGAAAGCTTCCATAAAGAAGAAACAAAATCACTTACGAAGTAAGGAAAATTAGATAAGCACTGAATTTTTCATCAGCAATACAAAAAAAATAGAAGGTAAAGGAACAATGTCTTTAGAGTAGTGATAAAAAATAATTTGCAATCTATAATGCTGTATTAAGATAAACTTTCAATTGTATATGAAAGTGGAACAATGCCATTTTCAAATATATAAGAACTCAAAGTTTTCCTCTCCTGTACTAATTTAAGAAAGTTTCCTCAGGATGCACTCCCGCATAATGAAGGAGTATATCCAGAAGAAAGATATAAGGTCCAGGAAACAAGGCAGAAAAGATAGTAAAAATAATAATGCTCTCCCAAAAAAACAGTAATAACTTCCAAGGGTCATTGTCCAATATGAAGCAAGATAAAATGTGGCAGAAATTTAAGAAATCGATAAAGTTTAAAGAAAAGCAAATCCACTGATCTTTTGATGTCAGAATCATCTTTATGTAGCTCAGCAGTTGTGACAATACAACCAAATACAGCCAAAGAGAACCAAGAAGGGATGCAACTGCATCACAGTTACTGACTTGGCATTGAACAATATTTACATAATCATAACATTGTAAATACTGCTGATATAATCATACTATCAGGCATTATGAATGTAACCGCACAAGTTAAAATAGTGAGTTAAAACAGCTACTGGGAAGACAGAGTCAGGAAGATCACTTGAGCCCAGGAGTTTGAGACCAGCTTGGGCAACACAGTGAGATCCCACTTGTAAAACAAAATATAAAAACAACAGGCCAGGCACGGTGGCTCACGCCTGTAATCCCAGCACTTTGGGAGGCTGAGGCACGTGGATCACGAGGTCAGGAGATCGAGACCATGGTGAAACCCCATCTCTACTAAAAATACAAAAAATTAGCTGGGCGTGGTGGCGGGCGCCCGTAGCCCCAGCTACTCAGGAGGCTGAGGCATGAGAATGGCGTGAACCTGGGAGGCAGAGCTTGCAGTGAGCCGAGATCGCGCCACTGCACTCCAGCCTGGGGGACAGAGCAAGACTCAAAGTCTTAAAAAAAACAAAAACAACAACAACAACAAAACCAATAAGAGTTTGAGAAAAAGGACAGGGGATAGGGATGGGAAGAGGAAGGGGTTATTTTAACATAAACTCTAAGTATTGTGATGTTACCGTGGCCATGTTTTACTTTGATAAACTTTTTTTTTTTTTTTTTGCTTTTCAATATTATATAAATAGAGATGGGGGTCTCACTATATTGCCCAGGTTGGTCTCAAACTGCTGGGCTAAAGCAATCCTCTCATCTTGGTCTCCCAAAGTACTGGGATTACAGGCATGAACTACCAGCCCAGCCTCGATAAACATTTTTAACGAAATAGAAAAAAAGTGTTATGGGAACACCGAGAAAGTTAGCCAGGCATGGTGGAATGTGCCTGTAGTACCAGTTACTCAGGAGGCTGAGGCAAGAGGATCACTTGAGCCCAGGAGGTCAAGGCTGCAGGGAGCTGTGATCATGCCACTGCTCTATAGATGGGGTGACACAGTGACACACTGTCTGCAAAAAAAAAACAAAAACAAAAAACCAAAACAGAGTAAGAAAGAAACAATCAAGTAAAGGCTTCATGGAAGAAACAGCACTTAATCACATAGCATATAAACTGACCCCTGATAAAGGAATTAAACTGCAACAAGATGATAGGGAAGAAAAGATAGGCCATGAAAACATAGTTTAGGCATTATTCATTTGAGAACAATCATTTGGCTCATCTCCTAAAAAAACATTTTTGGGGCAGAGAGATTCACACACACACACAAAATAATAGCATAGCATGTCAAGGCTAAAATAGATGCACTTATTCCAATTAAAATGCAGTGACAATAATATTAAATAATAAAGCAAGATCCAATTATATGCTGCCTATAAAAAATGCACTTTAAATATAGACACACCATGCTAACACCAATCAAAAGAAAACTGGAGTGACTATATTAATATCAGGCAAAGTAGGTTTCAGAGCAAAGAACTTCAGTGGGGATAAAGAAGATCATTTCAAACTGTTAAAGTGGGGCCAGGCACAGTGGCTCAACCTGTAATCCCAGAACTTTGGAAGGCTGAGGTGGGTGGAGCACTTGAGCCCAGGCGTTCAAAACCAGCCTAGGCAACATGGCAAAATCCTGTCTCTACAAAAAATATAAAAACTAGCTGGGCATGGTAGTGGCATCTGTGGTCCTAGCTACTCAAGAGGCTGAGGTAAGAGGATCACCTGTGCCCAGGAGGTAGAGGCTGCGGTAAGGTGTGATTGCTCCACTGCAGTCCAGCCTGGGTGACAGAGTGAGACCCTGTCTCAAAAATACATACATAAATATGTATATATACATATATACACACATACATATATATATATGCTTGTATATATATGTGTGTGTGTGTGTATATATATGTATATTTTGTTTGTTTGTTTTTGAGATGGAGTCTTGCTCTATAGCCCAGGCTGGAGTGCAGTGGCACAATCTTGGCTCACTGCAACCCCTGCCTCCCAGGTTTCAGCGATTCTCCCACCTCAGCCACCCGAGTAGCTGGGACTACAGGTGTGCACCACCACACCTGGCTAATTTTTGTATTTTTTAGTAGAGATGGGGTTTCACCATATTGGCCAGGTTGGTCTCGAACTCCTGACCTTGTGATCCACCCGCCTCAGCCTCCCAAAGTGCTGGGATTACAGGTGTGAGGCATCACGTCCAACCAAAAAAAAAAAAAAATTATATATATATATATATTATATATATATATAGAAAGTGGCACAGATCATCAAGATGACATAACAATCCTAAAACATTTATGCATCTAATAGTAGCTTCAAACACATGAAAGGCAAAATTATAAAGAGACAAATCCATAATACAGTCTGAGATTTCCTACCTCTCCTCTCTAATGAATTAAACAAATGCGAAAGAAAAATTAGTAAGAATACAACAGACATAATAATGTATAAACAGGCTAGGCACGTGTGGCTCATGCATAGTAATGCCAGCACTTTTCGAGGCCAAGACCGTAGATTACCTAAGGTCAGGAGTTCAAGACCAGCCTGGCCAAAATAGTGAAACCTCATCTCTACTAAAAATACAAAAAGTAGCTGGGGGTCGTGGCAGATGCCTGTAATCCCAGCTACTCCAGAGGTTGAAGCAGGACAATCGCTTGAACCCAGGTGGCAGAGGTTGTAGTCAGCCAAGATTGCGCCACTGCACTCCAGCCTGGGCAACAAGACCGAGACTCTGTCTCAAAAAAAAAAAAAAAAAAAAAAAAAGGAAGAAAGAAAGAAAATCCTAAAATTCACATGGAACCACAAAAGACCCCATGTAGCCAAACTAATCCTATGCAAAGAGAACAAAGCTGGAGGCATCAAACTACCAGCCTTCAAAATACATTACAAAGCTAAAGTAACCATAATAGCATGGTACTATCATAAAAACAGAGGCACAGATAAATGGAATAGATAGAGAACCCAGGAACGAATCCCCATATTTATAGCCAACTGATTTTTGACAACAGCACCAAGAACATTCCTTGGGGAGGGGACAGTCTTTTCAATAAATGGTGCTAGCTTTGGGAGGCTGAGGTGGTAGGATGGTTTAAGCCCCGGAATTCTGAGACAAGTCTGGGCAACAGAGTGAGATCTCATCTCTAAAATAAAATTTAAATTTGAAAAATCAATAAATGGTGCTGATCAAACTAGATATTTGAAGGTAGAAAAATGAAACCAGACACCTATTTCTTACCATATACAAAAATCAACTCAAGGC